TAGAACTTTTCGCCTGCTGTAAAAGAAGATGGTCTGGACGAGTGACGAGCCATAGCGCTTACCAGCCCCGCGAAGTAATACTTCATTGATAGTTCCGTGGGGAGAGTGGTAGTTAGTGGAGAGGTATTTAGTACGTAGGTGCAACTGTGAGAGTTTCCTCGGGCGTCATCCCACAAAAAAACAAAAAAAAAAAACATTTGTTACATTTGTCACCTATCAACTCCAACGATTATGGCGCCAGAGAAAGGGAAAGGGAACTGTATTCTTATATGCATACATATCTTCCTATTTTAAAGCAGAAGGGTGATAAACCCACTCCCGTTTATAAAAAACCATTTTTTTCCGAAATGTTAAATAAAAGATTATTAGTCTTACTAAAAATAATGGCATATGAAGCTCGAAAGAAAGCAAAATCTCAATGTAGCGGAAAATTTCCTGATAAAATCATCAAAAAATATGCATACAATTTTATGATATTTATCCAACTAGGCTAAGAGGTGAACGAAACATAGTAGTAAGAAGAGAAATGCATTATCATTCTCCGACGAATCCGCTACAGCAGTCCGCTTTACGCTCCTTGTCGCTGAGGAAATGCTCCCGCTTTGTTGGATTCTCTCTCTTTCATAATAGCCTCTGGTTATCGGTGACATTAGTGCTTTTTCCGCTTTACGATCGGCTTACAGTGGCTTGATTAAGAGGTCAATGACTTACATCTACTTGCTGATGATTCGATCAGCAGTGGCTGTAATTTTTGTTGTAGGCTGCTATCTCTTCAGTGGTTGTCCGTCGATTACGAAAGTAGCTTACGTGCGCAAGCTTCCGGTTTGATATGCCGATATGTATGTTGAGAACTGGCGAGCCGCGCACTTTCAAAACTTTGTCTCCTTGGCAAAACTAGCAAAAAACTCATTTTCTACGGCTATCCACCTTTTATATGGCTATTAAGCCACAAAAATCCACTCATCCCACCCACACAGTACACCGCACTACATGATGGCTTATGACCACTGTACAGTCTGTTAATTGAAACCCACCACTTGTGATACAATGTTGGTAGCTTCTTCGCAATATCAGCGCTTATGTATTTATGCCACTGCACTTTCCTAATAACAATGGCGGACGCCACAGGCTCGAACCCGCCGATGTTGTGGAGCGTATTCATAAATTAGTCAATGAGGCAGCATTGTTGCGTCCAACGTGTGACCTCTACCCACGACTAATAGCCGGGCCAGCCCGTGTTTTTTGTTCATACCGGTCCTTGGTAAGCATATAAGATGATATCACAGGTCTGCCTCTATTTATACAGGATTCAACCCGATCACCGGTGAAATAAACAGCTAACAGGAAAGTAACCGAGCAAGTCGATAATAGTTAAGGTCAAGTAGAGCACATACATAAGCGGACAATAAAGTTTCGTCGGGTGGAAGGTACTAGATTTTATGTCCATCTATATTTTTATGATCCAAAAAATAACTAAATAACGTCGTCGGGTATAAATACCAATGCGAAGAAATAGTTAGAAGTATCTCAAGTGGTGATAGGATACCACATAGCTAACCGAACTGCCACCTCCACCTATCAGTAGTCAACTATATGAAACCAGCAGCTTGGGAAAATAACCTTCGTTTGTTAAGTGCCAAACTTTCTTACTATACATTTAATTTGCTTTGGATCTAGTTTTTGGTTGTAGTTTTGAATTTGTGAGCTTTGTTTAAAGTTCCGCCGGAANTCTTGTTTTATCGTTTCTAGAACGTACTAGTTATCGGCTTCTCTCTTTCATCTGACATTCGCCTCGCATTTTCGCAACAATATATTCGGGAACTCCGAATACGTGGAAAATTTATCTTTCTACAAAAATAATGGCTCTTGTGGCGGTTGCTTTGCGCATAGGTTTTAAAAAGAAAAATTTAGCAAAATGACATTGACACACAAAAACAACAACATTACCATCACTAGTACGTGGATACGGGCCCATAAAATCTATGAACAAACGCTGAAAAGGTCGTTATACGTTATTTCTCCATAAAAAATTTTACGTTTTATTTGATTTGCAGATTTTATATTGGGTTACATAGGTACATACATCATTTACCATTCCGGGCCAAAAATATTTTTCTAGTAGCCTTGCAAGCTTTTTTTGTATGTCACCATAAACCCGGCCGCTTTGAGGCTTGATCCGCTTCGAGACTGTCCCCTTGTGAAACTTTGTGCGTCGGTAAACATAGCCATCCCAATGCATACGTTTGGAAGTCGGTTTTGGTTTTCAATCATACTCTTTTTCAACTCCAAGTACTCTTCTGACTTAAAGCATGGAGAATCTAAGCAAACATCAATCATTCTTTCATTAACTTGCAGTTCATCCATATGCATGCGAGATGAAATGCTGGGTACGATGTTTTGTGCTCCTTTTCCAAGCTGAATTTCAAAGTTAGATCCTTGCAGTTTTAGGCTCCACCGTGCTAATCTGCCTGATAAGTCGTTTTGATTCATGAGCCATCTTAGGCTAGCATGATCAGTTACGATCTTAAATGGAAGTTCTTCTACATATGATCTGAACCTTTTGAAACTCAGAACTGCGGCGTAGCATTCAAGTTCCGTTATATTATAGTTCTTTTGAGCTTTATTAATCTTGGCTGAAATATACGCGATCGGTCTTTCGTTGTTGTCATCGTCCAGTTGAAATAGTACCCCCCACTCCGTTTGTTGAGGCGTCGCATTGAAGATGAAATGGTTTGTTAAAGTCTGGATGGGGCAGTACAGGGGGCGGAGATCAATTTTTGTTTCAATTGATCAAATGATCTTTTAGCTGTGTCCGTCATGGTGAATTGTTTTACCTTGTCTTTGGAAAGGCAGTTGTGTAGCGGAGCTGCTAGGGCCGCATAATCCCGTATGAACCGCCGGTTTCAGCCGGACATGCCTAGGAAACGCCGAAGTTTCTTAGGGGTTTTGGGCTCACGGCCGCTACCTTGTTGGCGTCTGCCCGAGAACTTAACCGAGGTACCGTACCTGCTTATAGCAAAACTTGCTTTTCTCAATATTTATTGTTAATTTAGCCTCACGTTAGCTCCGAGCGACTTTTACTGCTAGACACAAATGGGACGGGAAGTCGTCTGAGCGCACTAACAAATCATCCAAATAAACAAACACACTCTCACGCAAAGAAGCGGGAATAACCTTATGAATTAACCGGCACATTCTTGGTGCAGCATTACATAACCCGAAGGGAATAACGGTAAATTGGTATGGTAGTAGACCTGGTCTCGTGAATGAGGTCTTTTCCTTGGATTTTTCTTCTGATGGAATCTGCCAAAAGGCATCTTTTAGATCTATTGCGGATAAATATCTTGTACTCTGGAACCGGCTCAGTATTCCATCGATGTGAGGCAATGGATATGCGTCCTTCATGGTCCTTTCGTTTACTTGGCGAGCATCTAAACATAGGCGGTGTTTGATTCCTTTTATGACCAACGAAACAGAGGAGTTCCAGCTGCTTTTTGATTCTTCTATGACGCGCATGTCCAACATTCGATCGAGTTCAGCAAAAACTAGCTTTTGTACTGCTGGCGGAATTGGATAGTGTAGCTGCTTTAGTGGCAAATTCTCATCAATAACCTCTACCACATGTTGCTACAAATCTGTCCGACCTAGCCCTTTCACCGTGAAAGACGGGAATTGAACCTTTACTTTTTCCAACGCATTGGTTTGCTTCAGTGTTAATACGTGCAAGACCGCGTCAAAAGACAGGTCACCCTAAGTGGATGTGAACTCAGCCACAGCTGTCTGTGAACGCTGCAGAGAGTTCCCCTAACTAGCGACATTTTAATTGAAGGTCATCCAGAAATCTATTCCCAGGTATGCTGCTTGTTGCGGGTTTTGTTTCTTCTGGCAGTGAACCCCGATGATCTCCGCCAGTGAACCGTTTCCCATGTCAGGTTTGAGAATACAGGTGGAAACACGAGGTGACACCTCCACATGAGAAACATATCATATTGTGAAACGACGAAGTGCATCTACCTTCCTTTTGCTTTCTAAAGGGTTTTTGGAAAAATAGTTGACCGACTTCCTACATTTGAAGCACAGCATCAATTGGAATGCCGATGGACAAAATAACTTTATGGTGGGTGTCACTCTGTTGTCGGAAGTAGGTCTTGAAATCCCACTATGCGAACGATCATGTCTTTTCCTTTCGTACTCAGGTAGTTGATCTCTTGTTACCCTTCGAGCATCAACCAGTACCTCAAAGGCTTGGAGTCTGCTTCTTCCGCTGTAAAATCTGTGTCATGGTATACTATCTCTTTTACAGTTCTAGACCTATTTTTATTACCTTTCATCAGCTTCCATGCATGCCTGCACTCTGTTTTTAACTCGGCTAACGTATCAGTTTTTGATGCAAACGTTAAATTTGCTAAGTATGGTTTAAGGTTTCCTTTGATGTTATCCACCAACTTCGATTCAGGTATCTTCCTCCTTAACCGAAACATTTGATCATGTACTTCCGCATGGAATTCAATACAACTTTCTGGAAGTTATTGTTTGCGTTCCATGATTTCGCGAATGATTTCGTAGTCGGACTCTGCACTTTTGAAGTGTGCTAGCAGTTCCATCTTGATATCAAAATATCCACGGCGTGATCTTCCAACACCTGCCAAAACCACTTTAGCGCATAGCCCGGCACGAGGCAATGAAAATCTGAGAATAATTGGTTGTAAAAAATATGATGTTGTTCACTCATCCTTTCAATCGTAAATATAAGACTTTTCACCCTCAGTCCTTTGGTAGTTTCATCAAATCTTATGTGCCATTTCTACAAATTACATTTTTTCTAATTGGCTCCATATCGGTAACACGCCCGCTAAGATTAGCAACATTAACTCTCATATGCCTTACCTCATTCATGCACTGTGCCATCATGTCGCTGCTTTGAACATCATCGCCATCAATTGTTCTACAGGGGTCATAGTGTGTATAGGATCACTACCTTGAGCCAGCGTCAGAGGTACCTGGTTGTTCCATTGCACCATCTATGCCCACGGCACCTAACTCCTCTGGCGGAGACATATTTAGTATTAGGTCTAATTACTCGAAAAACTAATACTATCGCTGGGATCGTTGCCTAAAGACTCCTTTGTGTTGGCTTAACTGCGTTGTAGTTCACAATTCGGCCTACAGAAAATCCTTGCTGTACACCTATGAAAATAATCAGTCGGCATAAAGTCAACCGTATGTGGCACTCCCGTGTCTACCTGCGGGAAGAGTGTAGCGACTACCTGGTTCTACTCTCCCTCCACATTCCCACAAAAATGTAAGTTGAAGTCACCGCCTTGGATACTCATATCCGCATACTTTAATTGAATAAAAAGTTTCAAAAGGTTCAGCTTAATATAACAAATATTTCCAAAGAAAAAATGATAATCTCCAAAAAAAAAAAAAAAATGCAAAAGAGATATAAAAATTTACAACTAGAATTATACAACGAAAACCTAATAATCACGAATTCATTTTTCGATTCCTTCGGAGTTTTGTTAATAAATATAAGTGACTACGTATGTCATGAATCCATTAATAACTAATATTGTACAATCATAATAAATGGAATCTTCCAATGATGATTATAAAAAAATGTTGGAAGAAAATTTGGGCCTTCGTTTGGTTGTTGCTACTGGGTACTTTTCTAAGCAAGTACTCAAACGCTTTGTTTAGTTAAATGTAAAATAATGAAATGCTTTGGTGTGTGTGGTGTTGGCTTTGCGCGATATTAATGGTAGAAAGACATGTCTTCCTCCTTTACATAACTAAATGTGGCACTACAAAACTTGACCTGTAGCTTAGTGTGGCTGTCACACGAAATGAATGTCTTTACCTAATGAATTCCGTGGTTGCCTTCAGGTATCATTAAGTCATCCTCTGGAGTTCGATTCAAGAACCCCAAAAGTAGATGAGCAAGCCCCAGCTTCGTCATGACTACATTAATCGCTGATGGCGTATCGCCATTAATCCCTAACACCATCCGTAAGTTGTTAAAGAAAATATAAATTTAATATAAGATAAGATATAGGATATACAATACTAAAAAATAAATTGTGTAAAAAAGGTTGAGGGTTAGAAGATATAAAAAAATTAAAAGATTCCTAATCTAAAAACTCCTTGGAGCTCCTTTTGTTGTGTAGTAGTATGTTAGTAAAAGAGCCGATCTTTTTTAATCTGATTTGTGAACCAGTCAACTAAAGTAGAACTAAAACAGAAGCTGGAATGAAGAGATATAAATAATGAATACAAAAACGAAGATGCCTGTCTCGTCAATGGAGTCTGCACACCCTCCTCTGTGTATTATGTACAGAATACATAGACGCTGTGCTGATTCCTCTGTCCCCTGACTTGATAATTGTCCGTCGAGTCTCTATGCCCAGTCCATCATCACTTCCACGTCCCTTCGTGTGCTCAGGAGCAGCCCACACACCCCGAAAACTAAAAAAAAATTAACCACACATCATTTTTTTTTTTCAATTTCATATTCTGCAATTGTTTTTATTCATACTATAACTTATCTGTAACACTACCACAAATTTCCTTAATTTGAATTCATAATGTAGTTCCTGTGAAAATTCAATTTGATATAATAATAATTACGCCTTCTTGTAATCATGCACGTACATACATCGAGCGTTCCGTACTAAAATATCTAATGTGATCGCGCATTTCAAACATTTGCTTATATTGCTCTTAAAGAAAGAATGTTTCTCATTCACGTATCAACTCCAAAAATGAGTACGCCAGCATGTTGCTGAGGAGCTGTGTGGGGAAGAGATACTCAAAAAAGAAAGGGAACTGCATTCTTACATACATATCTTCGTATTTTAAAGCAGAAGGGTGATAAACCCACTCCCGTTTATAAAAAACCATTTTTTTCCGAAATGTTAAATAAAAGATTATTAGTCTTACTAAAAATAATGGCATATGAAGCTCGAAAGAAAGCAAAATCTCAATGTAGCGGAAAATTTCCTGATAAAATCATCAAAAAATATGCATACAATTTTATGATATTTATCCAACTAGGCTAAGAGGTGAACGAAACATAGTAGTAAGAAGAGAAATGCATTATCATTCTCCGACGAATCCGCTACAGCAGTCCGCTTTACGCTCCTTGTCGCTGAGGAAATGCTCCCGCTTTGTTGGATTCTCTCTCTTTCATAATAGCCTCTGGTTATCGGTGACATTAGTGCTTTTTCCGCTTTACGATCGGCTTACAGTGGCTTGATTAAGAGGTCAATGACTTACATCTACTTGCTGATGATTCGATCAGCAGTGGCTGTAATTTTTGTTGTAGGCTGCTATCTCTTCAGTGGTTGTCCGTCGATTACGAAAGTAGCTTACGTGCGCAAGCTTCCGGTTTGATATGCCGATATGTATGTTGAGAACTGGCGAGCCGCGCACTTTCAAAACTTTGTCTCCTTGGCAAAACTAGCAAAAAACTCATTTTCTACGGCTATCCACCTTTTATATGGCTATTAAGCCACAAAAATCCACTCATCCCACCCACACAGTACACCGCACTACATGATGGCTTATGACCACTGTACAGTCTGTTAATTGAAACCCACCACTTGTGATACAATGTTGGTAGCTTCTTCGCAATATCAGCGCTTATGTATTTATGCCACTGCACTTTCCTAATAACAATGGCGGACGCCACAGGCTCGAACCCGCCGATGTTGTGGAGCGTATTCATAAATTAGTCAATGAGGCAGCATTGTTGCGTCCAACGTGTGACCTCTACCCACGACTAATAGCCGGGCCAGCCCGTGTTTTTTGTTCATACCGGTCCTTGGTAAGCATATAAGATGATATCACAGGTCTGCCTCTATTTATACAGGATTCAACCCGATCACCGGTGAAATAAACAGCTAACAGGAAAGTAACCGAGCAAGTCGATAATAGTTAAGGTCAAGTAGAGCACATACATAAGCGGACAATAAAGTTTCGTCGGGTGGAAGGTACTAGATTTTATGTCCATCTATATTTTTATGATCCAAAAAATAACTAAATAACGTCGTCGGGTATAAATACCAATGCGAAGAAATAGTTAGAAGTATCTCAAGTGGTGATAGGATACCACATAGCTAACCGAACTGCCACCTCCACCTATCAGTAGTCAACTATATGAAACCAGCAGCTTGGGAAAATAACCTTCGTTTGTTAAGTGCCAAACTTTCTTACTATACATTTAATTTGCTTTGGATCTAGTTTTTGGTTGTAGTTTTGAATTTGTGAGCTTTGTTTAAAGTTCCGCCGGTATACGACTTGCCCAATTGTAAATCTTACATCCTTGCTCCTAGTATTATAAACTCTGTTGCTTTTTTCATGTGCTAGTATCAACTCTTTAATAAATTTGTTCCTCAAGAGCTGCAACCTTTCATTTCGTGTCGCGATCTCGCAATCATTATCCCTCACTGCTCCCAACTTTCGGTACAACTCATATGATCCAGCGTGCTGTATCATAGGTATTTTGAAAGGTGCATAATACGGCGAGGTTTTGATCGCAGAATGTACCACGCTACGAAGAGCAAAGGCTGAATTACTGACTTGTCTGTCCCATCCACACTGGTTTTTTTATGAAATACCTAATTATTTGTAAGACCGATCGGTTCACTCTTTCTGCAGCATTTCCTTGCGGTGAGTAGAAGGCAATTTTTATATGCTTCGTGCCGTACTCATCCAGAAAGTTGGTGAACTTGCCCGAGGAGAATTGCTTTCCTTTATCCGAATGGATATTGTTACGATTTTACTAAATCAACTTCGATTATTTTCTAGATCCTTCGGGTACGATCTCTGGATTGTTAAAT